CGCCCTTGCCCCCTCCATTTCCGCCGTCACGGAGGCCGCCTCCGGCCTGGCCGCCACCCTTGCACCGGCCGCTCTATCATCCGCCGCCCTGCGTCTGCTCGCCCTACTACGACTTCGAGCGCGGCCTCGCGAGCTCGCCTACCTTTCAGAACGATACCAACGCGCTCTTTTACACCCTCCAGACCAGCTCCGTCTGGCCGCTCAGCCTCCCCGTCTACGACCCGGCGTGGGGCTGCGCGTGCGAGAGCGCCGAGGACCGCCCCGTCTGGCTCGCCGCCCTCGACCTGTGCTTCTGGTTCGACAACCAGACTGCGACGCAGCGAGAAGCGCTCTTTGGCGGCTCGGGACAGCTGCAGCAGGCCTACGAGCGCGCCTGCGCCGCCGTCGCGCCGGGCGAGCAGGTCAACGAGTACTACCACCATGTCCGCCTGTGCGCGACGCCCGCCTTTGTGCGCGACCTCTACTTCCTCGCCAGCAAGGAGTACTGCGTCCCCGACGAAGCCAACAGCTTCCAGCTCTACCCGCGCCTCGCCCGCGACGGCGCCATGATGTGCGGCACCGACATCGGCCCGGTCGGGGCCACGCAGAGCAATGAGGAGGCGGACTGCCCCTGCAATATCTTCTTCGACTACGACGCGCTGGCCAACTCCTCGGCGACCGCGCTCGATAGCGTCAACACCTTCTACGCCGCGATCAGCCAGCCCAACAGCTCCTGGCCGGTGCGGCGGCCACGCACGCGCGACGGCGAGTGCGCGTGCGACGACCCCGAGTTCCGGCCGGTGTGGCTGGCGCCGATCGACATGTGCGACTACTACGACCGCCAACCACCCGAGGTGCAGGCGCTGCTCCTGCCGCCCGATCCCGGGGCGCAGGCGCTGCACGAGAGGGCGTGCCTGGGGCTGTCGAGGACCGAGCAGAACCGCGACTTCATGCACGTCAAGTTCTGCGCGGACCGTGACTTCATCACCGACATCTTCTACGAGCACGACTACTGCCAGAGGCCCGACGAGCTCGGCCAGCTTATTCCGAGGACTGCGCCGGACGGGCTGCTCTTCTGCCAGGGCATCATACCATCGCCGTCGCCCCCGCCCTCGCTGCCGCCCTTTTCGCCGTCGGAGATCCTGGAGATCGGTCCCTCCGAGCTCTCAGATTCTGCCTCTTCGACGTTGCTGTGGCCGATCGTTGGCCTTATTGCCGGCCTGTGCTGCATGTGTTGCTGCTGCACATGCGTTGTGCTCGCCTGCCGCTATGGACGCATGGAGCTAGCGTGCGATGCCACCACTGGAGATCCGCAGCTGCATGTCAATGTCTATGGACTGGTGCGGCGGCTGCAACCCGGAGAATCCATTCGCCTGGGCGAGGAGCGGCTGAGGGTGACTGGGGTCGCCGAAGCCAGCAGCCGCTTTTCTCGGATGATGCGCCTGATTTCTGGTGCTAGACGAGAGAACGCAGACCTGCGGGTCACGGTCACGCCCCTTGTGCAATCAAATCATCCTGAGGGCGAGAGGGTATCGAGGCGCAGCTCGTCTGGTGGGCGCCTCAGCGGCCGCCTTAGCCTGCGTGCCACTGCCCCGCGGGCGCTACGATCGACAGGGATTGACGACCGCGAGCGCACGGGAAGATAGACCGATGTGTATGTGGAGAGGCGGGGGGGGGGGGGGGGGGAGCGCGCGCGGCGCGAGAGAGAGAGCGAGATAACAGAGAAGTGAGGTAGGAGGAAACAGCATCAGGTTGAGTTATTGGACCAATTGTAGCAGCTGTAGCTCCGCTGCGTTTGAGCCCTTTGAGGTTTGTGTGTGTGCCAATGCCATGTGCCATCAAGTATCATGTTGTGAGACTGTAGGGTAGTCTGTGCTAGCGACCACAGAGTACACGGTAGAGCATCCAATGTGTGTAGTAAGTACTGGATGTGCGGTATACGTAAAAGAAAAACAGATAATCGGTGTGCGCGCCGCTTGCCCTTGCGGCGGTCAGTCAGGGCTCAGCAAGACGTGTGCGCGCGAGGGTCTGGGGGTGCCGATAGCGGAGCGCAAAGAGCTCTCTCTCACCACGGACGTCCCCGCCGCGGCCGACGCCGCGAGCCACGACGCGACCTCCTCCTTCTCGGGGAGCTTCGTCACCGCTGGCCCTTTGTTTGCGGCCCGGCCGAGTGCCGACAAGATCGAGAAATCCGCCCTCTTCTCTCTCTTTCTCCTCCGCATTGACGCGCGCGCGGCTGGCAGCGCGCACCGGTCCCTCAGAACCACTCCACCCCCCCGATCGGCGGCGACCTGCAACGCCGGTCGTCGTCGGCGGCGGCTTCGCCGGCCGAGGGCGCGGCGTGTCGCCCGGAGGCACGGCTGCGGGCGAGGATCTCGCCGATCACGTCGGCCGCCGCGGGCTTAGCGGCCTCGGCCCTCGAGAATCTCTCCGTCCTCGCCGCCGCCTGCTGCCGCGTGTGGAAGGCAGCGCTGCCTTGGCCCGACGCGCCAAGCGGGGCGCGCGGCTCGCCAAAGTCGGGCCCCGTCGACGGGTCCTCCTTGTCGGCCGCGGGGTGCGCCGGCGAGAGTGGCGCGTCCCTATCGACCCCGAGCAGCTGCACCCCGCGCTTGCCAAAGCGACTGTTTGCCGCCGCCGCCGCCCGCTGCCCCCACTCGGCGCCCACCGCCGCCCCCCTGCTTGCCAGAGCCGCCGCCCGCTGCCCCAACCCTGTGCCTGCCGACGCCCCGAGGCGAGTCCACTCGCCCTCGCCGCCGCCCGCCGCCGCCGCAGCCAGCATCTGCGAGGGCGCGCGCGCAGGGGCTGGGTGGGCAGCCAAGCTGCCTAGGGGTGGGAAGGCGATGGAGGGAAAGAGGCTGCGGTGGGGGTACGGGTGCGGGGCGCATGCCGGTGGGGTGAAGAGGTTGCGGGGTGGCGGGG